TAAGGCTTATATTATCAACACCCTTGAAAATCATACTAGGACTTATTTTTAGGTAAACTCAGTATTACAGATCTGCTGTAAACACAAAGTATTCATCAGATAGCTCTTCCAAGGTGAATTATTATTTCTACCCTTTTGAAATTTCTTGTCGTTACTTTTTAATGATTGTTTTGTTCTTTTGCTGATAAGTTTACTGTTGTATTTCCTAATGTTGTGGCAATGACAGCAAAGCTGTAGAGATGGATACAATTTATTGAAAAAAATGTGTGATTTTATGGTTAAGCATTAATCAGTTTAAGAGAAAAATTTTGTTTTGTGTGTGTTGTTTTTTCAAAAACTACATTATATTTGTTTTTTTAAAGAATAACTTGATTAGGGATAGTTTAAGTTTTGAGGTTTAAAGAACGGATCAACATCATGGCACAGGGGTAGTAACCCATAAGTAACTCCATTTTTCTTCTAACTTAAGTCTGAGTCCGAAGAAGCTCAGCACAGTGCACAGGCTCTGTAGCACTGGCGAGGATCCTGAAATACTTTGGGTAGATTTGTACACCAATTTTGTCCAGGCACCACCGTTAGGCTACTCTTTTCGATTTCCAATTGACAATGGATTTTTTACGTGCGCAACATTGGACACAGGCGTTTGATCTCACTACGGTAATTCCCCCTCATCTCTCTGTAGTGAGATCAAACGCCCATGTGGAAGTCCAAGTCCACGTGAAAAAAATCCCAAGTTTGATGTTCCAAAGGATTGAAAATGTTCCTTAACTTACTCATTTTTCAAACATTGTTTCAGGCACTGTCAGCTCCTCAAATTGCAACAATACCTGTACCTTCTCAAGCAGGTAGCACAGCAAATCAGGCTACTGTAAACTTCCAGAAAGAGACAGTCACAGAAAGTAGGACAGCCTCCCCAGCCGAAGTTTATGAAGAGGAAACTCTACAAAGATCAGGTAGGGAAAGTAATCTTCTTCTTCTTCTTTGCGCTCACCAGCTGTAAACTCTGGTGGAAAGTTCTGGTTGTTCATCCACTTTTGGACTGCAGTCCTGTTCCAGAACCTGAATGCTGCGTGTGCAACTGTTTTGCAGACTGCTGGTTCCTTGCCTCTCAGGCGGATGCACTCCGACTTTGAATGAAGCTCCAAATTAGTCGACTCTTACAACATGCTTTTGGGTAGGTAGTGGGTCTATTCTTGTTTTCCCTATAACAGGGCCCCGGAACTCACACAGGAAAGGGGAAGTAATAAAGTTGCCTCTGAGTTTCATCAGTTGTGGGCAACTTTTGAAGTCATTGAAATCCTTGTGTTATTTCTGGGGTTCCCATTGTGGGGAAAACCAGAATGAACCCACTACCTCCTTAACAAGCATGTTAATAGGAGTTGACTAATTGGGGGCTTCCTTTGAATTTGGCATGCATCTGCCTGAAAACCAACAGTCTGCATACAGATAAGTAAAGACAGATGTGTAAAACGGATGTGCACACAACATGGGGTCTGGAAAAGACTAAAGTCTGGAGGTGGACAAACAACCAGAATTTTCTGCCAGAGTTTACAGCTGGTAAACGCGAAGAAGAAGAAATAAATGAAATATTATAAGTAAATTTACAAGAATTGATTGTCACTCTTTATTCTTCTTCTTCTTCTTCACCCTCAGAATGGTAGCTGGTATTGTGGTTTACAGCTAAGCTGTGATATCTGTCTTTCAGCCCAACATATCTGATCTCAATAAATCTTTAATTAGTTGCATTTTATGACATGCTTGTTAAGGTGCAGTAAGTCCATTGTCCCCCCCCCCCTCCCAACATCCCCCCCCCCCCCCCTCCCCCAAATGGAACCACCAAACTCACATGGGAAATTGTTATTCATAGAAGAAGTTGAAGAAAATAGTGACTGGAGGGCTCACTGAATTTATTTGTTTCATTGTTATTTAATTTATGTTTTGTTTATACAAACTTCTGTTACTTGTGGTGTTACTTCGGTATTTATCAACACATTCTGCCCATTTTCTATAATTGTGATGAATGATAGGTTTGCTAATCATACTTACTTACTTAGTCGCTCCTCTTCTACCTTGGGGTGTAGAGGTTTGCCAGAGAGATCGCCAGACGTCTCTATCAGCAGTTTTCTTTCTGGCTTTGTTCCATTCCAGTCCTCTGTCAGCCAGGGACTGTCGGATGTTGTCTTTCCAGTGCACCCTGGGTCGTCCCGGAGGTCTGGTTCCCTGGTTCTTAGCCTCCCATGCTTGCCATAGCCTGTTGCTAATCATGAGAGCTATTTAGTTGCTGGTTAGTGGCAGGTTGAGGTACACTTGTTCCTGCAGCAAGACCCTCTCTTCACTTTGAGACAACAGGTTTGAATTGAAAGAAATTTTGGTCCAGATTTTTATATTGACTAGGTGCTTTGAGCTGAAATTTCTATAGAAAGATTCTTAGAATACCATGAACACAGAAGAAAAAAAACATACTGGGATTTTTAAAGATCTGAACACCAAGGATGATTGACTGGTAAACAGCATCTTGTCTCAGAAACTGAAATAATTTGGTCATATCAAGTGCCACGACAAACTGGAAAAAATAATAGCAAAAGGCATGTTACCAGAAAGGAGGGGCAGGGGCCGACCAGCACGAAGATGGACACAGGATATAAGTGACTCCTTAATATGAAAGTAGAGGAGAAGGGAGAGCTGGCGAGAGACTGAGTTTCTTTCAGGCAGACCATGATGCGAGCGAAATTCTGCAAAAGACCTGCTAAAGGATGATGATGAGGTGCTATGATATCTGTCTTTTCTCTTCTTCTATAAATTTTAATTAGAAAATGTAAATAAACCGAACTGCTGCAATTGTCAGTATTTTGTCTGAAATAGTTCCATTCTCTTCACTATTGAATCAAAAGTAAATGGTTTAACATGTAAGTATATAAAAATAAAGTAAAGGACCTTTTTCAGGTGTGTTGGGCATATAGGGTAGATCTATATTTTATAGACCCGCCACCGGTGGGTGATGTGGTCACCATCACGCTGGCCATAATTACTTCCTATGACACTACCTGGTACCCACTCAAGGTGGGGTCGACCTGGGAGCCAAAATCATTTCTGATAATAGTTGGCTCTGTCAGGACTCAAACCCACAACCTTCTGATTTGCAGGCAAGCATCTAGCTGCTACACCAAGGTAGCTCATTTACAAGTAAAGTAAAGTAAAAAGAAATTTAAACATTAGTAAATCTTCTTCTTCTTCTTCTTTTTTTTTCTTCTTTTTTTTCTTCTTCTTCTTTGTGTTCACTGGCTGTAAACTCTAGTGGAAAGTTCTGGACTTTAGTCTTGTGTTCAGAACCTGTGTGTTGCGTGCACATTTTTTTTTACAGATCCAACTTATTTGTATGCAGATTGTTGGTTCCTTGCCTCTCATGCAGATGCACTCTGACTTCAAAGGAAGCCCCCCCCCCAGTCAGTCGACCTACGACATGCTAGCTGGAGAGGCAGTAGGTCTATTGTTGTTTTCCCCGCAGTGGGGCCCCAGAACCCACAGAGGGAAGTGAATGATTCTTTTCACCCCATTGGTGTATTGAACATATGATGGTAGACCCATATTTTTAAATAAATCTTCAATTTCTTTACATTCATCGGCTGTAAACTTCTGGCAGAAAGTTCTGGGTTTTTTCTGTCCACTTTGGGAATTTGGTCTTGTTCTAGAACTTGAGCTTTGCGTGCACATCTTTTTAACAGATCTGGTTTATTTATGCACAGACTGTGGATTTCACTGCCTCTCAGGCAGATGGGCCCAGACTTTGAAGGAAACATTGCTAACTAGTGGACTTTTATGACACGCTTGTTAGGGGGTGGGGGGGGGCAGTGGGTCTCCCCCCCCTACCCCTCCACACACACACAAATTGAAACCCTGTTATTCACACAAGAGTTTTAACAGATTAATCTGTGCTTGATATGTGATGTGGTAATTAATCTGTGCTTGATATGTGATGTGGTAATTAATCTGTGCTTGATATGTGATGAGGTAATTAATCTGTGCTTGATATGCGATGTGGTGATTAATCTGTGCTTGATATGCGATGTGGTAATTAATCTGTGCTTGATATGTGATGTGGTAATTAATCTGTGCTTGATATGTGATGTGGTAATTATTCTGTGCTTGATATGTGATGTGGTAATTAATCTGTGCTTGAAATGTGATGTGGTAATTAATCTGTGCTTAATATGTGATGTGGTAATTAATCTGTGCTTGATATGTGATGTGGTAATTAATCTGTGCTTGATATGTGATGTGGTAATTAATCTGTGCTTGATATGTGATGTGGTAATTAATCTGTGCTTGATATGTGATGTGGTGATTAATCTGTGCTTGATATGCGATTTGGTAATGAATCTGTGCTTGATATGTGATGTGGTAATTAATCTGTGCTTGATATGTGATGTGGTAATTATTATGTGCTTGATATGTGATGTGATAATTAATCTGTGCTTGATATGTGATATGGTAATTAATCTGTGCTTGATATGTGATGTGGTAATTAATCTGTGCTTGAAATGTGATGTGGTAATTAATCTGTGCTTGATATGTGATGTGGTAATTAATCTGTGCTTGATATGTGATGTGGTCAATATCTGCTTGACCACTTCACTTTTGAGAACATGGCCTGTAACCATTTGGTGAGCAGGTTAATTATCTGCCTTGATGCAGATTTGAACCCATTGTCTTCAGGCAAGAAGAAAAGTACAGTGGCATCTCGGTATAAGTTCGCTTTGGTATAAACTCAAATTGGTATATGTCCTGTTTAAACATGAACAGTTTTGCTTGGTATACAACCATTGTTTTGAATACGACCCACGTGCTAGAACTTGTATGAGTAAATATTAGTCACTACACTGTGAGAAGTGTCACCATTACAAAGCCCAAACAAACTGTAGTACCATTGTCTAGCATGACGAGACAATGTCATATTGCTGAAACTTCCCGAGGAGAAGGGGGAATTAAAGTTCTTTGGGCAGATTTTTAGTAAAAATCAAACCTGATGAGCTCAACCAGGTCCAAGCAGGGAAAAGACAGAAAAAAAAAAGGAAAGAATAAACACCAGAATTTCAGATTCCTGAAGTTTTATTGGAAGGGAACTCTCCTTCCACATTATAACATCTCCCTCTCCTCTCTTGTGAATACCATCCTAGTAAGCATTCTTAGGAAGGTAAAGTGAGATTAAATTTTCATTGATTTTATCTAATAGTTTTTGTAGTTATGTATTTAATATCAGGCAGTATGTAAACAATTTTAAACAACCCAGTCAATGTATTATATGACAATAACACTTGGATTAAATATTCTCCTTTCTTTTCTTATGGGAAAATGTATCTGGTATACGTTTTGTTTGGTATATGTGCAAGGATCAGGAAAAGATTAAGGATGTATACAGAAGTATCACTGTGTTTGGCTACTGCACTAGATCTGCTTCCATTTGTATGAAAGATCTTTTGATTTACTGTGCCATCAGTAACTTCAAAGGAAGCTCCCCAATTAGTCGACTCTTACGACATGCTTTTGGGGAGGCAGTGGGTCTATTCTTGTTTTCCCCACAATGGGGCCTAGGAACCCACACAGGGGAAAGGTTGGGTTATATTAGGGCCTCTGGCAACAGCCAGGGTGGGACTTATAATTAAAAAATTAAAATTGTATGCAACATAGGGCTGGAATGCTATTAGGTATTTCAACATGCAGGTAGGTAGGTAGTTGTACCCAACCAGGACATCACACAAGCGATAAACACCCAGTGACACAAAGTGCCACCATGCCGATAAGGATCACTAGTGATGAGGTCCCAGAAACCCCTTTCAGCCGCTAGGCCATATCTATGGCTAGGCCATATTGATGGCCCGGCTATATTCAGGGCCCCCAGCAAAAGCCAGGGTGGGGCTTCAAAATAACTAAAAACTGCATCCCACAAGGGGTTGTTATGATATGGCTTTGTTCAGCGTTCACTCGCCATATAGTATTTGTGGGAGGTTCTGTTGTCATGAGTCTCTTTGATGCGCCACAGGCGCTTGTGTACAAGTAAGAAGTACTGCAGGGGAGTGCACCCCAGGCGCGACGGTTTGTGAGTATTGAACTTGAGATGTTTTTTTTTTTTTTTATTTCTGTGTTCCTTGGTGGTTGTTTCACCTCAGAAAAAGAAGTTACTGCCAAGGAAAGTAGAAATTCAAAAATATCCCAGTTTCCTGCTCATGAACTGTAGCACAGGTTGCACAACATGCCAATACTCTTGCAAGTAAGCGATGACAACACAAGAAAAGAGAGAACATTTGAACCGTTGAAAATAAGAAATGCCTGGCACCCCCACAACATACGACAGGCCATGTGACTGGCTGCTGCATGAGTGGGACGGGAAGTAACTCTTACCGTGTAGACAATATTATGATAAGAACCCTTGGAGATTTTCTTAATAAACTAATATAATGGTCTGCTAGTTGTGTTTTTCTTTGCTTCATGTGCCCATGTTTATTTCCACAGGAATTTTCAAGTTCCTAGATGAGTACTATGACAGTTTGAGAATGGAGGAGGAGAAACAGAAGGAAGCTGAATCTAAGCCAGCTAACTCTCAGAGTGATGTGCCTCTACAGGAATCTGCAGATGACAAACAGTTTAAAAAAGAGTATGTTTACATCTAGCAGACTTATAATATGATGATAGCAGAAGTGAAAGAGAAATACAAGAGTATAGGTTAAGGTTAGTTGCGTATCCTTCACAGGGCGTTGCAGAACCAACCCCAACAGCTCCTGGCTGTTTTGTGGTTTTTCTAGGCAAATATATGTCCAGTAGTTTGCCATTGCTTTTTGGACGGTCAGCTTTCTTGATACCACTGTCGAAACCAACGCAAGGCGCATGGCCTATATGAGTGGCTAAAATTATGTGTTCAACAAATGCAATAATTATTGACATCTATAGAGATTTAGATTGGTTAGTAAACAGCATTGTGTCTCAGAAACTGACATATTGTGCACCCCCATATCAAGTGACATGGTGGATTGAAAAATATGGTGGCAGAAGGCATGGTACCAAAAAAGTGGGGCAGGGACAGGGATTGACTATCATAAAGGTGGGCACAGGATATAACAGACAATGGGTAGTAAAGTGTATGAGTTGGAAGAGTGAGTTTGTATGTTGTTTTTTTTTCAGACGAGCTGTAATGATTTGGCATTCAGCAAAAGATATGCTACACACTAATAGAGTATTAGCAGCACATTGCAAATGATAACTTAGCAGCACATTGTAAATGATAACTGTCAAATGTTATGTATGCTCAACCCTGCTGTATGTGTCAGAAACCTAGACAAAGAACAAACAACTAGAAAATCAAATTGATCGTTCGACTTGCTGATAGACAGAAGAGTGTGTAAGATTTCATGGAAGCAAAACCATTTTTAAAAAAAGAAAAAAGCAGTTATGGTGATACTGGGAATGAAAAAAAAGACAGATAGAAAGAGAGAGAGAGAGAGAGAGAGAGAGAGAGAGAGAGAGAGAGAGAGAGAGGGGGGGAGTGGGGGGGGGGGGGGGAAAGAAGTGCAGTATTTTGGTCTTAAATAGATAAAGGGAAATAAATGACAGACAGACAGACACTGATACAAGTGAGAGGACAACATCAAAAGATGAACAAACAGCAGTCTGAGAGTCGATGACTTACACAGGAGCCAGAAAGTGTAAGACATTAGTTGTAGCCAACCTTCATTGTGAAGATGGCACCTGACTGATTGATTGATTCATACCATCGTTACATGAAGCCCTACTCTGGCTCTTGCCAGGGGCCGCATTATAGCCTGGCCATAAATATGGCCTAAAGGCTGAACACGGTTTCTGGGACCTCTCTACGGTGATCCTCACCCACATGGTGGCACATTGTGTCATCGGGTGTGTATCGCTTGTCAGTCAGTCACTGCATGTTGAATTACCAAATCATTCATATCATTGAAGTTCTTCCCTTGTGGGGTGCAGTTTTTAGTTATTTTGAAGCCCCACCCTGGGTTTTGCTGGGGGCCCTGAATAAAGCCGGGCTATCAATATGGCCTAGCCATAGATATGGCCTAGCGGCTGAAAGGGGTTTCTGGGACCTCTCCACTAGTGATCCTTATCGGCATGGTGGCACTTTGCTGCTGCTGCTGCTGCTGCTGCTGCTGCTGCTGTGTCACTGGGTGTTTATCGCTTGTGTGATGTCCTGGTTGGGTACAACTACCTACCTACCTACCTTCATGTTGAAATACCTAATAGCATTCCAGCCCTATGTTGCATGCAATTTTTATTTTTTAATTATAAGCCCCACCCTGGCTGTTGCCAGAGGCCCTAATATAACCCAACCTTTGGGTAGAACAGAATTTCTGGGACCTACTCCCAGATGATCCTCATCTGAATGGTGGCACTTTGTGTCATCAAGTGTTTATCGCTCAGTATGATGTCCTGATGGGGTTAAACATCAATCAATCAAGCTTGTTGAAAATGTGAACATAACTAACTCTAGCACAACATGTAGTAGTGGTAATTTTTAAAATATCTTTTTTCAGCCCATCAGGGTTATTTTTTTCTTCTTCGCGTTCACCGGCTGTAAACTCCGGCGGAAAGTTCTGGTTGTTCATCCACTTCTGGACTTTCAGTCTTTTTCCAGAGCCTGAGTGTTGCGTGTGCATCCGTTTTACAGGTGTTACTCATTTGTATGCAGACTGTTGGTTCCTTGCCTTTCAGGCAGGTGCACTCCGACTTTGAAGGAAGCTCTCAATTAGTCGACTCTTACGACATGCTTTTGGGTAGGCAGTGGGTCTATTATATTCTTGTTTTCCCTACAAAAGGGCGCTGGAACCCACACGGGGAATCAGGGTTAAAAGTGGCATATATTTTTTTTTTTAATTTCAGTATTGAGTATATATTGCCTGTCAATCATGTTTGGTTAATGAACATTGCAGAGATTGTGTATTAATTGAAACATATTGGAGGAGTATAGATTGTTAAGTTTAATATATTTTAAGTGTACCTTGTAAATAATTATGATAATTATAATGTGTAATTTATCTTCAGGAATATTTAGATCAGTGTGTCCCAACATAGGAGCCCACGCTCCAGAAGGGGTGCAGGGGGTGGGGGGGGGGGGGGGCAATTTGATTGTTACAGAGGACAATCTGAAAACTGGGTCATCCAAAGTTACACAGAAGCCATAAGCATTTTAGAAAGGCATAAGTGGGGCATGGCATGAAAAAAAAGATTAGGTAACCGTGTATACAGTAATCTGAGATAAACAATTTTTCTGTCTTAGGCTATATTAACACATCATATCCAAACATTTATTCTGGTGATATACTGCTTAATCCTTCCCTATAGTTCTCTAGATCTGTCTATCCATGGCATGTTTTCTATTGTCATAAATTTGTTGCTGCAGGTCACATGATATAACAGACAATATGTACGAAAGTGTATGAGTCGGAAGAATGAGTTTGTATGTTTTTTCAGGCGGGGTGTAATAATATGGCGTTCTGCAAAAGACCTGCTACATGATGATAGAGAGATTAGCAGCTAATTGCTGCATCACGGGAAGCTCTTTAGAGTTCATATTTCTCGGATTAAAGTAGTGTCCAGCTATAATGTTTCTGATATTCAAAATAGGGTGGTGCCGTCTGTTGTGAAATCAGCCATCCCAAGTTGCAGTCTCAGCAATGTTTTTATTGCAATGGATTTTTTAGTTTATTAACTATTTTCTAAAAAAAACTTTCTTTTCAAAGTCACTATGTGAATGGAGCTATGGTGGCATAGTGGTTAGTCTTCTTGTCTGCAGAGACAGTGATTCCCAGTTCGCTTCTCAGAACTGGAGGCATTTTTTCCGACTACTATAGCTCTAGGGTCAACCCAACTTCATAGGAAAATGGGTACCAGGTCTTTTCTATTTCTGCATTCGTCCTTAAAAACAAAAAAAAATGAAAAGAAAAGATGGATAGCAGTCTATATTGTGGTTGACAGTTAGGCTTTGATATCTGTGCCTTTTGGCCCAAAACCTTCCACTTCAAAAAGGTAGATGGCTCTCTGCACTGTGGTATACAGGTAGGCTGCAATATATGCACCTATTTGTCCAACACATCCGATCACCATATCCAGTTTTAAAAAGGTGAATGGCACTCTGTGTTGTAGTTGATTGTTAAAATCCTTTAAGATATAATGGTGCAGTTTCCCATATGGGTTCCAGAGCCTCATTTTGGAGAACAGACAATAAATTCCTTCAAAGTCAGAGTGTATCTGCCGGAGAGGCAAGGAACCAACAGTCGGCATACAAAATAACCAGATCTATAAAACGAATGCGCACACAAAACTGGATCAAGACCAAAGTCCAGAAGTGGATGAGCAACCAGAACTTTCTGCCAGAGTTTTACAGCTTGGGAACGCTAAGAAGAAGAATAAGAAGAAGTAGACGAAGATAATGAATACAGAACAAGGAAAAGACTATGCAAAATATGGAACAATGGCATCAAAAAACAATCTAAGATAAGATAAGACCATCTTATACAACATATTAGAAACAGCACACAGATAATCTTTACATCTCTCAATCTCCCCAACTATAATAACACTTTGCTGGGGTAACTGGAGAAAGAGGAGGAGGAGGAGGAGAAGAAAGAAGAAGAAGAATTATACACTTTCAAGAATAAAAATGTATGTATCTTATATTCCGATAATCACAGAAACAGCTTGGCCAGGAAAAATAAAAACAATCAAGATAAGAAACAGTCACCTGACAGACTATCGGTGGGTTAAAAACCTTTGTATTTATATAATGTGAAAGAACTATTTTATTTTTATTTTTGTCTATGTGTGTATGTGTTGACTTCCATCTTGTTTGAAATCAGCAAAAAATCACCACAAAAACATTCAGTAACCTACCTCCTGAATAACTGTATGCTTAATATTTATTAATTTGTAAAGGAAAAATTAACATTTTGCATGCCCTTAATGCATTGTCAAGGCATTTTTCAGGTATATTTTCAGTGTAATATAGTCAGTATTATTGCTCACCAACTGGAACTTGGAATATATCTAAATAAAATTAATCATTCATACGCTGAGGTCAGAAACATTGAATTATAACTTAAGTAAAATGTAATTCCTTTTTTTTTAAATCTGTTGGCTGTATCCATTCCATTTATAAACCCATAGCTGTGTGTCATTGTTTCATCGAGCCAATGTTAACTATTTAATCATGTAATAGTAATTTACCACACACACAAAAGTAGCGGGAAGGGGGGGGGGGGCGTCTGTGAGGTCTCGAGGCATGGTGTCCGCCTCGAGTGCTAGAGGTTCAGGGTTCAATCCCCGGTATGGGCTGGGATTTTATCCCATGGACTTCTAGTAATTCCCTCTGGTCTCTGGGTAGTGAGATCGGAGGCCCATGTGCATTGTTGCGCACATAAAATCCCTAGACAGTTGGAAATCGAAAAAAGTAGCCTATCACCGCTGCCCAGGCAAAATTTGGAGTTAAAAATCTCCCAAAAATTTTTCCGGATCTTATCGGTGCTACAGAGCCTGTGCACTGTGCTAAGCTTCTCAGACTCAGACTTGAGTTAGAAGAAGAACGGAGCACTTATGGGTTACAACCTGTGTGCCCTGATGATGATCTGATGTTCAAACTTCAAACAAAAGGAAGAAATGTAATGATATCCTGTTCACCAATCTGGATATATTTGTTCTTTTCCTATATTTGATATTTATTCTTATCACTTACTTCTGGCAATTTAGTACTGCATGGACTATTTATTAATTGTAACATTTTTTTGAGGAGCATAGATCAACTGTTTCTAATATATTTATAGTCTTCCTTTTAAATCGTTTTCTTGTTTTTGGCATACACCAGCTTTAAACTCCAGCGGAAAGTTCTGGTTGTTCATCCACCTCTGGACTTTAGACTTGTTCCAAAACCTGAGTTTTATGTACACATCCATTTTACAGATTTGACCTACTTGTGATCAGACTGTTTGTTCCTTGCCTCCCAGACAGATGCACTCTGTATGTGAAGGACTCTTACAACATGCTTGTTGGGGAGGCAGTGGGTCTATTCTTGTTTTCCCCACAACAGAGTCCCAGAATACACAAGGGGATTCCTTGTAAATAATTGTGATGTTCATATTGTGTAATCTTTCTTTTGAGAATATTTAAAATGATAGGGGATATTTAAAATTATATGGGATATTTAAAATGATATGGGATATTCAAAAAGTCAACCCTATTTTTTAAATTTTTTTTGTATAGGCAGTTCTGCACTCGAGGAGTGATGTTGCCTATATCATATCTTCTATTGCTGGTCAACCTGCAAAAGCAAGTCAGTTTTACAAACAGGGTTCAGTCCAGATTTGGGAATTTCTGATGCTAAGCCAACAGTCACTGAGCCAACAGTCACTGAGCCAACAGTCACTGAGCCAACAGTAACTGAGCCAACAGTAACTGAGCCAACAGTAACTGAGCCAACAGTAACTGAGCCAACAGTCACTGAGCCAACAGTCACTGAGCCAACAGTCACTGAGCCAACAGTCACTAAGCCAACAGTCACTGAGCCAACAGTAACTGAGCCAACAGTCACTGAGCCAACAGTCACTGAGCCAACAGTCACTGAGCCAACAGTCACTGAGCCAACAGTAACTGAGCCAACAGTCACTGAGCCAACAGTCACTGAGCCAACAGTCACTGAGCCAACAGTCACTGAGCCAACAGTCACTGAGCCAACAGTCACTGAGCCAACAGTCACTGAGCCAACAGTCACTGAGCCAACAGTCACTGAGCCAACAGTCATGCATACTAGCCGTAGTACTGGCACTGCTGTGTGACCTAAAATGTTTGATGGGGGGGGGGGATAAGCTTCACACAAAAATGCAAACATGTCTGTAAAACTTGCCGTAAATATAGAATTTACTTTTACACAAAAATGCAAACATGTCTGTAAAACTTGCCATAAATATCGAATTTACTTTTGCAGAAGTCATCAGAAGATAAGTCAAAGTCAAGGGTAATTCTACAAGACTTGCGTAACAATCTGAATAGATCTAAAAGGTACATTTGAAAAACTCTCTGTATCTTTCTGCCTATCTCTCTTTTTCTTCTCTCTCTCTCTCTCTCTCTCTCTCTCTCTCTCTCTCTCTCTCTCTCTCTCTCTCTCTCTCTCTCTCTCTCTGTCTCTCTGTCTCTCTTGCTGTCGATCTCAATTTCTCTGTCTTGTTCTCTATCGGATGCTTTTTCTTTCTCTATTTTTATCACACACACACTTTCTGTCTCTCTCTGACTCTGTCTCTCTATCTTGCTCTCTTTTGATTCATATCTTCTCTGGACATGCTTATCTGGGCACATGCTGCAGTACTGCCCTAACTTCTCCCAGCAAAGACTGGGGATCTGGCCCAAGGGAGCTACAAGAGAAGCTATGGGGGACCGGTGGGGACCTTAAATGCATAATCCTATTTGTGACACAGACGGGACTCAGTGTTTAACATGACGGATGTCGAACGCAGAAGAAGAAGAAGTTTATCTGTGCAAACAAAAATATTACAAATACTTTAAATTAAATGTTCCATGCTGGCTTAGTTGACAGTAAAATCAAAAAGTAAAGAACTCATTTCTGCGCTTGAGAAATGTACTGAACATATAGTACTAGCTCTGTATTTTTATAGATCAATCAGCACTCTGCTTACAAATTGCGCGCACAAAAGAGTTGAATGGGTGTGGACCATTGGGCAGCCAAAGAAGAAAGTGAAGAGTATACAGGCATACATACAAACTATTGGAGTCGCCAAATTTTTTTCATTTTCAGTTCTAAGATGGTTGTTAATTTAATTCCTTTGTCCCGAAGTGTTGAATTAGAAATTACATAATAAATACTTGAGACTGAAAGAAAGAGTTCAACAGAGACACAGAAGTAGTCAAATAATAATTTAGAAGTAACGAGTTAGTGGAGATGAGTTGAGCTAAGTTAAGAACCCTCATCACAGCCTACAGGATGTTCCCCTAAGTGCTTTGTCCTCATCTTCAGCAGCCAGTGAAGAGTTCCAATTCCAGTGGTACCAGTAACAGTTTGACTGTATGTCCTTCTTGCCTTTTCTTTGAGTGTAGAATGTCTACCAGATCTTCTGATCACACATAGCTGCAGTTTTATCCCCAGACCATAATGGTCAGTTCCTGCCTCCTGCATTGTTCACATATTTCCAAAGGGTTCTGACCACATCTAGCTTGTCATGTAATAATTTACTACCCAGTGGTGTAAAGCAGCCAGTCTTTCCAACTGTTTATTTCTCAACACACCTTCACATCTTGAAGAAAATGTCTAAAAGATTCTAACTACACAGAACCTCTGAAGCGATGCTTGTCATTCTGCACAGAGCCTTCTTCACCTTTCTCAGCATGCTTTGTGAGTTGGTTACAATCACAACATGTGTATGCAGCTGGTCCTCAAACCATTGGGAAGCTTCTATGACTGCCTCTACCTCCATTCTCAATCCAGATGTTGTTGTATCATATATCAGGCTTTTGTTTTGCACGCACTAAGTGTTATCTTATCCATTTGATTTTGCAGTGAATACACATGCACGTTTCTTGGTTCTAAACAAAATCCACCTGTATAGATAATCACATCACCTGCTCGGGATTGTCTTGAATCAGTTGCTGAAAGTTTGAGAATAACATCTGTATATGATAAAAGAAATTCATATTTTTTCTTTGACTGTGCATGTTGTAAATTGAATTGTGTCTGATACCGAAAGAGTTAATGGTCCGCCATCATGTACTTTAAAATAAGTACTTTCTGACAGATAAAATTAATGGCATCATATTTCATTTATGATATTACAATGCTCACATATGTAAACACTTGTTTCCATTTTCCAGTAGTGCAGAACATTTATGATATTACAATGCTCACATATGTAAACACTTGTTTCCATTTTCCAGTAGTGCAGAACTAATGGAGTTTAATGCAAATAAACTCAGCAATAAATACATCAACCTGCGACAAGATCTTCACAACAAATTCAAAGAAATTCACGATGATAAAGCCATGACACTTCATGATATTCTGGAGCAGATGGAAAGGTACTGTTTTTTTTTTTTTAATTTTTCTTTCTTTCTATGACCGTTTTATTCAACAGTCGTTCTATGTGGCTCTAAAACTTGGAGCACAACTAAAACAGATGAAGCCTTATTACAGGTTTTCAAAAACAGATTCTTACGACCAATCTTTGGACCCATCAGAGATGCAAACAGCGGGGAATGGAGAGTGAGAAGCAGTAACAAAATTCATAATCTGTTTAAATCACCACTGATCATTGGCATCATGAGAGCTAAAAGATTGAAATGGTTGGGGCATATTGAGAGAATGTTAGATGACAGAGAAGTAAAAACTGTGTACACGAGGGAGATGAATGGTCGCAGACCATGAGGCAGACCAAGAAGAATATGGAGAGATAATGTCTAGACAGACCTGCAAACACTTGGTGTCACCAACTGGAAAGAGAAGTCCAACCAGAGAACCAACAAACGAACATACTTTATTTTCAGAGGGTTACAAATTGGGCACGCAGGCCGGTCTGACATTCGGCCCTTCTAAGCACTCGTTTTTCAGAGTACCAATGCCTGTTATCAATAATGCATGTTATGGATGTAATAAAGAAATATACATTATGGAATAATACATACACACATCATGTGAACACAATCTTACATACTCAACCACACACACACACACGTATACATACTCTTACATTCTCATACATGCACACTCACATACAGACATACATAATACGCACATACACAAACATAAAACACGCACATATATACATAGATATACATAGATATACATGCACAACATAAAACACACACATATACATACATAGACATACATGCACACACACATTCCATACATACACACCTACACATGCAGGCATGCATACACACACATACAATCACATACACAGACACCCACAACCACACATATACACTGACATGCATAAGTACACCCATATACATGCATACATACATATATACACACATATACATGCATACATAAAAAGTAAAAAAAGTAAAGATCCCTTTTCACGCCTTTCGGCGTATCGGGTATATGGGAAGAGCGTCCCATATTTTTACAGATTATCAGCACTGTGTGGGTAATGTGGTCAGCATTACGGCGGCTGTCTTTACTTTCCCAGGACAGCCCATCCTGGTACCCATTTTAGGCTGGGTCGATCTGCGACGTCCTATACCACGACAAAAATCCACGCAGCCTGCAGTGGGTTTCGATCGCGGTATGCTGGCTCACGAGTCAGACTCGCAACACCTTAGCCACAGACATACACACATCTATACATACACTCACATCTTTACACACATACATGCATACATACCTAAATGCACACACATACAAACACATACTTACACGAGGCGAGTGATATCTGCAGCAGTAAACCCAAGGGCTCGGAATGCTGAAGAAGAAGAAGACTGTTGTATTCGGTGATGGTGGGGGCCTCCCTCTAACAAGCATGTTGTAAAAGGTGACTGATTAGGGGCTTGCTGCAGTCAGGTGTTTTGGGCTGCAGTCAGGTGTTTTGGGCTGCAGTCAGGTGTTATGGGCAGCAGTCAGGTGTTATGGGCTGCAGTCAGGTGTTTTGTGCTGCAGTCAGGTGTTTTGGTCTGCAGTCAGGTGTTTTGAGCTGCTGTCAGGTGTTTTGAGCTGCTGTCAGGTGTTTTGGGCTGCAGTCAGGTGTTATGGGCAGCAGTCAGGTGTTTTGTGCTGCAGTCAGGTGTTTTGGGCACCAGTCACGTGTTTTTGGCACCAGTCACGTGTTTTGGGCACCAGTCAGGTGGTTTGGGCACCAGTCACGTGTTTTGGGCTGCAGTCAGGTGTTTTGGGCACCAGTCACGTGTTTTGGGCACCAGTCAGTTGTTTTTGGCACCAGTCACGTGTTTTGGGCACCAGTCAGGTGGTTTGGGCACCAGTCACGTGTTTTGGGCTGCAGTCAGGTGTTTTGGGCACCAGTCACGTGTTTTTGGCACCAGTCACGTGTTTTGGGCACCAGTCAGGTGGTTTGGGCACCAGTCACGTGTTTTGGGCTGCAGTCAGGTGTTTTGGGCACCAGTCACGTGTTTTGGGCACCAGTCAGGTGGTTTGGGCACCAGTCACGTGTTTTGGGCACCAGTCAGGTGGTTTGGGCACCAGTCACGTGTTTTGGGCTGCAGTCAGGTGTTTTGGGCTGCAGTCAGGTGTTTTGTGCTGCTGTCAGGTGTTTTGTGCTGCTGTCAGGTGTTTTGTGCTGCTGTCAGGTGTTTTGTGCTGCTGTCAGGTGTTTTGTGCTGCTGTCAGGTGTTTTGTGCTGCTGTCAGGTGTTTTGTGCTGCTGTCAGGTGTTTTGGGCTGCAGTCAGGTAGTTTGGGCTGCAGTCAGGTGTTTTGGACTGCAGTCAGGTGTTTTGGACTGCAAGTACCTATGGGGGTTCCAGGGGCCCCATTATTGGGGAAACAAGAATAAACCCACTGCCTACCCAAAAGCATGTCATAAGAGTCGACTAATTGGGAGCTCTCTTTAAAGTCGGAGTGCATCTGCCTAAGAGACAATGAACCAGCAGTCTGCATACAGATGAGTCAGATCTGTCATGCATTTATGTTCTAAAACAGGACTAGAGTCCAGAGGTGGACAAACAACCCTAACTTTCCACGGGAGTTTATAGCCAGTGAACATGAGGAAGATGAAGAAGAAGGATTGACGGGTGCAGACATCACATCCTAGCTGTAAACGACAATGTGCTTTTAAGGGTGAATGCAGAAGGAAAAAAAAAGAGAAGATAACTTAAATGGTCACATATGCACATGTGGTATTAGAATAAGAATGACCATGGCAGGAGTCATCGTTAATAATAGACAAAAGATTTTAAAATGTGTTGCAGCCACTAGCCATCATTAACTGATTTTAAAATGAAAAGGAAAAAAACAAAACAAAGAAGGGACTAACCAAATATATCAAAATATTTTACTTTCATAGTATATACGTTTTCTGCCTAGAAGGTGTCTTCAAGCTTGAGCTTTCCAATGACAAAGGAGCTATGCAAGTGATGCTGTAGCTATCAATGGGACATACCAAGCCAGATCTGTCAAAGGGTAGAGAACAGACAAAGAGAGACATCCTGCGCTTCAGGGTGGTGGTTGGAGTATGGGTCTCATTTAGGTATTTAAGCTTTGAAATCAGAAGGATTTCAACAGATACCTACAAATACTTGCAAAAGGCCCTGCTAAATGATGATGATTATCACTGAAAAGAAAAGGCCATTCTCGGTTATGGATGGATATCTGTAGCAAAAAACTTCAAGAACTTGGAATGTGGATAAAAGAAATATTGTACACATTCACAGCAGCTGTTCACTATGTGGGTTCTGGGGCCCTATTTTTTTACCCCTTAATAAAAAAAGTGGCATATCCTTTACAGGACCTTGCAGAACAAACCCCAGCCTTTTTTGTTTTATCGTGCTGTTGTGGTTTTTAAATGAGAATTTACGTCCAGTCTGTTTGCCATTTCTTTCTGGATGGTCAGCTCTCAATACAACTGCCAAAACCAACACAGGGTGATCTACTGCCAAATTGCCTGCAGCTGAGATCAAACCTGGCTCCCCAGCATTACAAAGCGCATTTGCAACATCTAAGCCACATTCGACTAACAAGCACACCATAAAAAGATGATTAATTAGGGTTGTGTGCTTCAAAGTTTTAGTGCACCTGCATGAGAGGCAAGGAACCAACAGTCTGCATACAAATAAGTCAGTTCTGTAAAAGAGATGTGCACACAAAACTGAGGTACTGGAAAAAGACCAGTGTCCAAAAGTGCATGAACAATCATAACTTTATGCTGGAGTTTACAACTGGTAAATGCGAAGAAGAAGACAACAGCTGCTTCAGCTATTTCAAACTTTAATTCTTTGCACACACTTTTGTCATCTCTGTCATATGCCAGGATGCGTCTTGCTAAATGCCAGATCAAATACAGCAGTCTGCGAACTTCGCTAGACTTCTATCGGGCAGTGAGAGAGATGCGAAAACAAGAACATCGAATGTTAACCCAACCACAGATGATTGGAAGACAGTCATCTATCAGAGGAAACTGGTATTTTTTGATGGACTTACTGTTACTTTTTTTAATTGTTGTTTTAATCTTCTTTTTTTAATTATTTAGCCACAAAAGAGCATGTTCTGTTGTGGTAAATTTAGAGTTAAGCTGTGCAGACCCACTAATCTCTCTGCCAGTTTGCATCCTAATGCACATGCCTACCCTGAAGAAAATATTCCTATGACTCTTAACCATGACTCTGGAGCAATGCTTGCCACTCTGTTTTAAGGCTACCTGTTCCTTTCTCAGCATGCTTTGTATCCTAACAAAAGGAGAGCCAGCCCAACACCATCCATCATTAGTTTGTTTATTTTGTTTTCTACATGCATGGTGAATTCTTTGCTTCTTTTAAGGGACCTGGCAGCGCATGAGCAGATTCATACTGCAATTGCATTTTACATTTTCTTCATCTACACTTGTAACAGTGCTTCGCATTTACACAGAAAGCCTTCTTGTTTTCTTGTCCTTGTCCAAGAAGGCTAGACGACTCATCCACTGCTCCAGACTCAGGAGAGAGTTTACAAGGGATTTATATATTTTTTTTTGGGGGGGGGGGGGGGGGGTGAAAAATAAAGATGCCAAAGATCCCATTCATCATCATGTAGCAGGTCCTTTGCAGAACGTCGCTGTTATTACTGTCTGCCTGAAAAATACTCTGTCTCTTGCCAGCTTTCCCGCCTCATGTACTTTCATACTCAAGGAGTCACTTATATCCTGTGTCCATCTTCGTGCTGGTCGGCCCCTGCCCCTCCTCCCTGGTACCATGCCTTCTGCTATTATTTTTTCCAATCCATCGTGGCGTTTGATATGACCATTACTCACCAAAAAATTTATTTTTTAAAAATGTTTAAGGGTGCTGGTACTTACCACAAAGTGTCTATAAAAGTAACACTTACAAAAATGCTTTAAAAAAGGTTGCAGTTCAGCCAGGGAAAAAAATGGTTTTGTTATGTTGTAACAATTCATTGTTAAATCCTTGAGCTCCATTTGTAACTGTGTTTCTGCAGGTACAATGCCTGGCTTATAAATCTTCTGCATTAATTTTTTTTTCATTGTCTACTGAATGTAAAATTGCCTAGTTCAAACTCACACAGCCAACAACTGCTGAGATTGTTCTTTGGGGGGACAGCATATAAAGGATCATCATCATCAAGTGCCTTGCCGACTGGCATTGGCAATCATGCCTCCCCACAATCTGCAATCTTCAGCAGCATGTATCAGTTCATGTGTTGACACCCCTCCATGCCATGACAAAAAGCTGTCAAGAATCATCTTCTTCTGTCTTCCTCTGTCTGTTTTTCCATAGATCTTTCCAGTGGTCACAAATTCTTTAATTTATTTCTTCTCATAACATCACCAAAATATCAAAACTATCTCTTTTTGATGTTTGTGAAAAGTTGTCTTGGAGCCCTTACCTCTTTCAAAACATCTGGTTTGCTCTTTTCGACTGTCCAAAGAATTACATGGATTCTTCAGTAGAACTTATATACTTTGTCACTCTTCTTCTACTTTAGGGTTTAGAGTTTGCCAGAAAGATCGCCGGACTTCTCTATCAGTAGTTTTTTTTTTTTTTTTTTTTTTTTTTTTTGCTTTGTTCCATTTGAGTCTTCTGTCAATGAGGGACCTTTGGATGTTGTCTTCCCAGCAAACCCCGGTGCGTCCGGTGGTCTGGTTCCCTGGTTTTTGGCCTTTCATGCCTACTGTGGTGGCTGATTCTCTCCATTCTGCATACATGTCCAAGCCACCCTAACTTTGACTGATCCACTCAGGTTTGTAAAGCCTGGATTTCAAAATCTCAACATATTGTCTATTTGCAAATTGTGTCCCTTCTTGTCACTTGGACCACTTTTTTTCAGAAACTCGTTTCTGTGAGCTGTAGACATTGCCCATGATTCACATCTATATGTTAGGACTGGCACATAGGTAGAGTGGTATACAACTATTTTTTTGTGTGCTAATTTTGCTTTGCTAATTTTTCTTAGGCTTAAAAAGCCGCCAGTTTATGGCCTGGAAAGGTCTTCCATCTGCTGCTTTTCAAGCAGCAAACTCTTAATTGATGCCTCCATTTGGTCTATTATGACTCCAGGGTATTTGAACTGGTTGACCTTCTCTAGTGCATCTTGTCCCATCATGATTTGATGTGGGTTTTTTTTTCACACTCACCATGGTTTTAGTTTTGGAAACACTGATGGTCATCGCTCTCTTCTCAAACTCTTCCTTCCAGACAAGGAAGTTGGATTGAAGATGTGCCTCTGATTTAGCTATAAGGGCCACTTCGTCTGCAAATGCCAGCTCTGATATACAGATTGGTCTCATCTTCCAGTATTCTAGTGAGTACTTCTTTGTCTTCTTCTTACAGGTCTTGATGACATCATCCATCAGATAAGGTGAGAGGATATCTCCCTGTCTAACACCGCTAATGCTCTCAAATTCTTCTGACTTTTGGTTTCCTGTTCTTATATTTAAAAAAAAAAACTTCAATAAAAACCACATATCAAATTTCTGAAGAAATGTTTAACTTGTTTATTAGTTGTCCAGGATTTACAGCCTGTGTGTTAAAATTTGGCTCTGGTAAATCAAGAGAGAATTCTTTTCCTAACATACAAAGGATATGCACCTGAATGTTTTGTTTTTGTTTTTGTTTTTCTTCTTTCTTCTTCGCGTTCACCAGCTGTACACTCCGGCGGAAAGTTCTGGTTGCTCATCCACTACTGAACTGCAGTCCTGCTCCAGAACCTGAGTGTTGCGTGTGCATCAGTTTTACAGATCTCATTCTCTTGAATACAGTCTGTTGGTTCCTTGCCTCTCCGGCAGATGCACTCCGACTTCAAAGGAAGCTCCCCAGTTAGTCGACTCTTACGACATGCTTTTGGGGAGGCAGTGGGTCTATTCTTGTTTTTCCCCACAATGGGGCCCCGGAACCCACTCGGGGGGTTTTTGTTTTTTTATAAAGCAAGGCATCTAAAACACTACCCTAGGATCAACAGTGTGTACACTGACATCTGTGGTATCTTGTAACAATTCATTGTCAAATTCTTGAACTTCATTTGTGTTATCTTGTAACAATTCATTTTTCATTTCTTGAACTTCATTTGTGTTATGTTGTAACAGTTCATTATTTAATTCTTGAACATCATTTGTGTCAATTTGTAACAGTTTATTGTTAAATTCTTGAACTTCATTTGTGTTATGTTGTAACAATTCATTGTCAAATTCTTAAACTTTATTTGTGCTATATTGTAACAATTCATTGTCAAATTCTTGAACTTCATTTTTGTTATGTTGTAACAGTTCATTATTTAATTCTTAAACATCATTTGTGTCATGTTGTAACAGCTTTGTTTAATTCTTGAACTTCATTTGTGTTATGTTGTAACAGTTCATTATTTAATTCTTTAACATCATTTGTGTCATGTGGACTTCATTTGTAACTGATTCTGCAGGTACACAGACTTGCTAGTCAATCTTCCTGATGAGGTCAAGGACATCTGGTACTATCAAGTCATTATACAAAAATTAGGAAAGTATGGTCTGGTAAGTTCACACTTTTGTAAACTTGATTTGTGTGGGTTAAATGAAGTACGGTTGCAAGCAGTGCTTGTTAGAATGGGAAACTATTTCATTTTAATTTGTATTAAAGCTCATTTTAATACAAGCCTGCAAACAACAATGGGTCGAGAGAGATCAGGTGATGGACTGGATTCCTTCCAGGATACTAAAAATGATTTAGCAGGATGGAACTAGGTTTATGTTTATTCAACGAATCGAGATCATATCACACAAGTAGTAACCCATAAGTGCTCCATTCTCCTTCTAATTCCAGCCTCTCTGCAGTGCACGAATTCTGTTGCACCGGCGAGGATCCTAAAATACTTTGGGTAGATTTGTAACTCTAAATTTTGCCCAGGCAGTGCCGTTAGTCTACTATTTCGATTTCCAACTGCCAAGGGATTTTTTACGTGTGCAAGAATACACATGGGCATCCAATCTTACTACCCAGAGACCAGGGGAAGTTACTAGAAGTCTACTTGAAAAAACCCAGCCTTCACTGGGGCTTGAACCTGGGACCTGAACCCGGGACCTCCAGAACTCAAGGCGGACAAAATACCTCAAGACCACTCAACTAAGTTCAGGTATTGACTGATTTGTATGTGACATATAAACAGCATGATAGAATAATGAAAGGGCAGCAATGTTTTCTTGCCCTAAGTGATATAGTGCATCTGCCGGAGAGGCAAGGAACCAACAGTCTGTTTTCAAGAGAAAGATCTGTAAAACTGATGCACACGTAACACTCAGGTTCTGGAGCAGGACTGCAGTTCAGTAGTGGACGATCAACCAGAACTTTCCGCGAGAGTGTACAGCTGGTGAACACGAAGAAAAAGAAGAAGATAAGGCCCAGAGACCCCTACTATTCTAAATTACACCAGCTAATCTAAAATAAAAAACTGGAAAAAATATATACAGATTTTAAATAGGTAGATATCCACCTACTGGTTTGGTTGCCCTATTATAGGGAACAAAAAATAATAGACCCGCTGCCTTCCCAAAAGCATGTCATAAGAGTCAACTAATCGGGAGCTTCCTTCAAAGTCGGAGTATATGTGCCTGAGAGGCAGGGAACCATCAGTCTGCATACAAATTAGTCAGCTCTGTCGAATGGATGCACATGCAACACTCAAGTCTGGAACAGGACTGCAATCCAGAAGTGGATGAACAACCAGAACTTTCCGCCAGAGTTTACAGCTGGTGAACGTGAAGAAGAAATAGGTAGATAATAGAAACTTATTTTCATTTAATTCTCAAAATAGTTCTATTGAAAGACAATTGCAATTAAAATATATTAAAATAAAACTGCATATGTGAAAAAAATGACTTTGTTGAGGCCCCTGCAGATTCTGAGGTCCTTCGCTGTAGCTTATTTAGCTTATGCCTAACTTCAGCACAGGTTGACACTCATAGACTTAGAGAATTTATAGGACACACTAGACAAAAACCTAAGAGAAAATTGAACAGCCCAGTCTTAATCTCAGTTTCTGTTCTCAGTTGTGATCTGGGTACAGATATATATATATACCTGTCTGCAAATCTGAAATGTCTTATCTTGCACACCCTATTTACATCTTAAGCTTGTAGAGAGGAAAGAGATTTCTGCACAGGAAGAAGAAGGAAGAAAAAGAAGAAGGAAGCAGCAGCAGCAGTTGTAGTAGCTGTGCTTATAATAGAACATTGCATTGCTTGTTGTCACCAACATCATCATCATGTGCCCTGCCAACTGGCGTAGGCGCTCATGCGTCTCCATAGATCATGATCCCTGGTTGTCTGGAACAGCTCTTTTGATGATATCCCTCCATGCCATCGTTTCAGCCCATCCAGTATCATCTCTCTTGGTCTGCCTCTACCCCTCGTTCCACTGATCTTTCCAGTTGTTCAAATGTTCTCCAATGTCTCTCTTCTCATTATGTGGTCAAAGAACAGTGTTTGTCTCTTTCTTGTTTGTTGTTCTTTAATTAGACATCTCATATTCTCTAGATGGAGAACACAAGCAAGCAGAGTGTCTACACATTTCTCAAAGTTCTTGAAGGCCTTCACCTCTGGGAAATCTGCAACCCTGACATCTCAGCGGCTGCCGAGTTCTGCCGAGCCAAAATTGTGGAAATGTCAATAGAAGAATATGAAGAATGGTTTGCCCAAGCTTTTCCTAAAGTTGTGAGACCCAAGACAGCACCTGCGAGGTTTACACAGCAGGGTTCGGCTCTGAAAACCGAGTCAAAGAATTCAAATGATGCTGGCGTTAATGTTAAGGATGGTAGGAAATCTGGGAGTGAATTGCTAACCGGGATGATTCATGCTGGAGCTCTTTCCAGAAGTGCAACATCTGGGCCGCGGAGTGGTGGTAGCCAAAGGATTGACATGGTCCACTCTGGTGCTGGAAGACAGAGATGATGAAAGTTATTCTCTAGATGTTCTGCAGTCAGTGACATTATGTTTCTTGTGAATGAATGAATCAAGGAATATTTCCATGGCGTGTGCACCAAATTTGACACATTAAGGCAAACCTTTTGGCCAGAGAGAACAACAGTGGAACGTATACTCTATGGACCACTGAATGAATTAACAACAACAGTGAAATTTATACAAGAGACAAAATAGACAACTTATTTCAGGCGAACGAAAAAAGAAGAAGAAGAAGAATGAATGAATGAATGAATGAATGAATGTCACTGGACTCAGGACATTCCCACAAAAGTTATATCTGATGTGCCAGTTGCAACCTGATTAAAAGTACAGTGGTAAATTGGTATATGTTCGCTTTCAACTTGGTATATCTCCTGTTCAGATGCAAAGATTTTTGCTTGGTATATGACCTTTGTCTGGAATATAAACTTTAATGAGTCAGAGTTAGCCATGACATCATGTGTTATCTCTGTTTACTGAGATAAAAGCCACGGATAGATGTCAATAACTTTGCAGAAAAGTATCACCCCTAACAAAGCCCAAACAAGCTGCAATAGCGTTGTCTTGAAGAACCAGATAATGTCACATTTCCAAAACAACCTGAGGAGAAGGCGGAAGCAAAAGTTCTTTGGGCAAATTGTTTGGAAGAGTCAAATCTGGTGCACCTGAATCAGGTCCAAATAGTGAAAAGAGACCCAGATACAGAGGGAGAGACCAAAGTGAAAAGAATACATTGTTTGTGCATGATTATATTTTACTGTAACTCTGTAGTGATGCATCTGATGAAATTGAATGAAATATTTTTTTTTAAATTTTAAAAAGTTAAAAATGTAAAGTCTGGAGATGTGAACCAGCGTCACTGCACACGGTTATAAACCATAAGTGCTCTGCCACCAGTACGGACAGCTGATAAGAAACTATCAGCCTGTGTTGCCGTCTGCATGAATCTCCGCTAGCTGCAGCAACGTTCTCCATTTATCCCAGAGTGTTAACTCTAGTACCCATTACCTAGAGGTTGGGTGAACCCCGGGAACTGCCCAGTTTCAAACACTGGCCTTGGGCTGCAGCGAGTCACAGCTAGATTTGAAAGTGAGTCTCTTATTGACTGCGCTAATGTGGCCCCTAGAATGAAATATGCCAAACAATAAATTGTTTGATGTTTGGACTCGCATTATTTACATTTACTTTATGGGAAAACATTGTTTTAACCCTGTCGCCTCAGTAATGTAAAAAAAAAAAAGGGGGTCAGCACAGTGAAAAGTCCTGAGAAGATCGTTTAAAAAAACTATTCACAGGTCACTAATAAATTTTTTTTTTAAATTTATCTACATTTTCTTCTCGATATTTAAAGATATTTAAAGAGAGTTATCAATAAGCATGCACAGAGTGAAGCATTGAATGGAATGCGTGCTTCATGGCCTGAAAAAAGTATGTGTTAGGTGACTTATGTGTGACCTCATGACCTCTTATCTTTGAGGCTTATGGGAAAATTTTACTTGACATTTAAAAAAAATATTTGGTTCAAAGGTAAACCCCTAAATGCTATTTTTAACTAATGTATTCATATTCTGACCTCCCAAATATTTGCACAGCCACCTCATTAACACATCACTGTAGACAAGTTGGAAAAGTGACATGTAATGGTCTTTGTACCCAGCCAGAAGTGTCAGTTTTATGGGTTCCTGGGGTTCCAGGGGTTAAAGGAATTAAATTCATGACTGAATCAGCAACCTTGACCAGATTACAAGAACAGCAAGATGATTGGTCTAAGCCAGGCAAGAATAGCCTTGACCAGATTACAAGAACAGCAAGATGATTGGTCTAAGCCAGGCAAGAATAGCCTCGACCAGATTACAAGAACAGCAAGATGATTGGTCTAAGCCAGGCAAGAATAGCCTTGACCAGATTACAAGAACAGCAAGATGATTGGTCTAAGCCAGGCAAGAATAGCCTTGACCAGATTACAAGAACAGCAAGATGATTGGTCTAAGCCAGGCAAGAATAGCCTTGACCAGATTACAAGAACAGCAAGATGATTGGTCTAAGCCAGGCAAGAATAACCTTGACCAGATTACAAGAACAGCAAGATGATTGGTCTAAGCCAGGCAAGAATAACCTTGACCAGATTACAAGAACAGTAAGATGGTTGGTCTAAGCCAGGCAAGAATAACCTTGACCAGATTACAAGAACAGTAAGATGGTTGGTCTAAGCCAGGCAAGAATAACCTTGACCAGATTACAAGAACAGCAAGATGGTTGGTCTAAGCCAGGCAAGAATAACCTTGACTAGATTACAAGAACATCAAGATGATTGGTCTACGCCAGGCAAGAACAACCTTGACCAGATTACAAGAACAGCAAGATGATTGGTCTAAGCCAGGCAAGAATAACCTTGACCAGATTACAAGAACAGCAAGATGATTGGTCTAAGCCAGGCAAGAATAACCTTGACCAGATTACAAGAACAGCAAGATGATTGGTCTAAGCCAGGCAAGAATAACCTTGACCAGATTACAAGAACAGCAAGATGATTGGTCTAAGCCAGGCAAGAACAACCTTGACCAGATTACAAGAACAGCAAGATGGTTGGTCTACGCCAGGCAAGAACAACCTTGACCAGATTACAAGAACAGCAAGATGATTGGTCTAAGCCAGGCAAGAATAACCTTGACCAGATTACAAGAACAGCAAGATGGTTGGTCTAAGCCAGGCAAGAATAACCTTGACCAGATTACAAGAACAGCAAGATGATTGGTCTAAGCCAGGCAAGAACAACCTTGACCAGATTACAAGAACATCAAGATGATTGGTCTACGCCAGGCAAGAACAACCTTGACCAGATTACAAGAACAGCAAGATGATTGGTCTAAGCCAGGCAAGAATAACCTTGACCAGATTACAAGAACAGCAAGATGGTTGGTCTAAGCCAGGCAAGAATAACCTTGACCAGATTACAAGAACAGCAAGATGATTGGTCTAAGCCAGGCAAGAATAACCTTGACCAGATTACAAGAACAGCAAGATGGTTGGTCTAAGCCAGGCAAGAATAACCTTGACCAGATTACAAGAACAGCAAGATGGTTGGTCTAAGCCAGGCAAGAACAACCTTGACCAGATTACAAGAACAGCAAGATGGTTGGTCTAAGCCAGGCAAGAATAACCTTGACCAGATTACAAGAACAGCAAGATGGTTGGTCTAAGCCAGGCAAGAATAACCTTGACCAGATTACAAGAACAGCAAGATGGTTGGTCTAAGCCAGACAAGAATAACCTTGACCAGATTACAAGAACAGCAAGATGATTGGTCTAAGCCAGGCAAGAACAACCTTGACCAGATTACAAGAACAGCAAGATGGTTGGTCTAAGCCAGGCAAGAATAACCTTGACCAGATTACAAGAACAGCAAGATGGTTGGTCTAAGCCAGGCAAGAATAACCTTGACCAGATTACAAGAACAGCAAGATGGTTGGTCTAAGCCAGGCAAGAACAACCTTGACCAGATTACAAGAACCACAAGATTATTGGTCTAAGCCAGGCAAGAACAACCTTGACCAGATTACAAGAACAGCAAGATGATTGGTCTAAGCCAGGCAAAAACACAACACAGACAGCCAATGAAAAATATTTGTTAACCAACATCTTATCATCATCATCATTTTTTTACTTTTACCATTAAGTATCTTGAGGAACTGTTTGTTATCCATTGCTCGATGTGTATTACTGGCTGTTGTCACTCTATGTGGATAAAGAATTTTTTTTTCTAATGTCAACATTCCATCTTCTCTTTTGGACTAACTGTGGGTGTAATGTTTAACAATCTGCTTAAAAAAAATAATAAAAGGGTAACAATTTGATGTCTTTGAGTAAAGTAAAATAATAATCAGTAATATTTTCTTTTTTTTTGTTCATTGACCGTCAGCTTCAGGGTGGACAGTCTGGTTGTTCATGTATTTGGACTTTGGCTTTGTGCCAGGGCCTGAGTTTTGCTTGTGCATCCATTTTACTGGCTTATTTGTGTTCAGTCAGTTGTTCCTTGCCACTCCGGCAGTCGCATTCCAACTTCGAAGGAAGTCCCCATTTAGCCGACTCCTATGACATGCTTGTTGGGGAGATGTTGAATCTATTCTTGGTTTTCCCACAATGGGGTCCGGGAATCCACATGGGAAAATCAATAATATAATTGTACATGCCATTAATGCTTGTCAGTGTATTTTTTCAAGTTCATTTTGCAGTTTAATATAGTCAGTATTATTTCACATCAGATCTTTTTAGGTGTTGGTAGTACTGTAGTCATTGCCTTTTAACAAGTTGATCAAATCATGTGATCTTCGGCTTTTAAAGAAATTTGATGCAGTGTGTTGTTCCCACAGTCTGTTGGACAGCATCACTTCTCACTCAGTCTCATATGGTCAAGTCAGCAGCTTTCTTCAGGCATCTCATCTCTCATAACACAGATCTGGTGCCATAAATTGTCACATGCTGCAGGACATACCAAAGGGGCATCCAAATACTCATGGACTAATGGTTCAGTGTGTGATAAGAATTTGTTGTCAGTTATTTTTAGTGTTTTAGTGTAATTATGTTCTATAATAAAAGGTTAATTAACAAATACACTTCTCACCAAGTGGTTTTAAATTTGAAAGTATGTGATAGTTTGGTATGCTGATTTTTTTTTCACTATGTATTTAAATTTGATGTTACAGTTTAAATTAATTAGTCTCTTCATTATCAAATATTATCAGTGTTAATAAAGGAGATTTAAAACTTAAACCTAAAACAAAATGAAATGAAAAGTTCAGTAAAAGTTAAATTATTTTGTAAGTAAATAAGGAAGTAAAAGCCCTTTTCATGCTAGTGACGTATAAGGCTTATCATTCTAGATGCCCCATGTGGATTCCGGGGCCCTATTATAGGCAAAACAAGAATAGACCCACTGCCAACCCAAAAGCATGTTGTAAGAGTCGACTTATTGGGAGCTTCCTTCAAAG